CAGCTGAGTATTTTCAGTCTCTGTTTTCGGTATAAGTGTAATATACGCTTCTTTCCACGACTCTGGTGCCCTTTTCCCTTCCAATATTTCATTGCAGACTTCCTTTAAAGGTTGTACTAACCACTCTTTCAAGGATCTATAATATCTAGAAGTCAGCCCATCCGGTCCTGGAGATTTGCCTAATTGCACATTGCCAGGAATTGTTGAGCTTTAGGAGATCGATAAGGACCATCCAGGCGATCACTTTACTAAATACCAAGATCGACCCTGAACGCCCCCATAATCGACCAGTCAATTGCAATTGACCTGTGGTACGTGTCTGCTTTATATTATGTAGGAAGTGGCTGGGGAAACCTAGTCAGATGGGTGGGGTACAAGTAATAAATTATCATCATCATCATCATCATATTCAGAAACAAAACGGTTGATCATTTTCCATTCCAGGTTAACTGCAGGGGCATTAGAATAAAGGTAATGGGCCCCCGTACGATTAAGTCCAGCCAAAGGCAACTATGGGGTTGTGGCGCTCATCTCCACTTGCAGGCCGAGGGAGTTGGCGTTTGTCCGCAGTGATGGAAACCAGAGCGCACAGAAATGCTGCTTACCTTCCCACAGCAGCGGTACCTATTTATCTACTTGCACTGGCATGCTTTCAAACTGCTAGGTTGGCAGGAGCTGGGACAGAGCAACAGGAGCTCACCCCGTTGCGGGGATTCGAACTGTTGACCTTCTGATCAGCAAGCCCAAGAGGCTCAGTGGTTTAGAACACAGCGCCACCTGCGCTGTAGGGGGCGTGGTTGAATTCCATCACAATACCATTGGTTCATCACACATCCGATTTTCAAAACAGTTCTTGTGACCCAACAGAAAGACTTACCGAGAGAGACCATGATGCCACAGGTCTCTTCCATGACTTCCGTATGCAGAGCTCTCTGGTCGGGATCCAGCAATACCCACTCCTCATCCGTGAAATGTATAGCCACATCCTCAAAGGTTGCTGGACTCTAAAAGAAAAAGGAAATGTTTCCACCTCAGAGAAAGCATATGGATTACCTGCTGCTCATTACTGTTGTTCATTGTCTATTAATTGCTGTGTTTTTTAATGCCATTATCGTGCTGAGCATTTTAATTATGGGTGTTTTAAGGCGTGTTTCATTGCGTGTTTTAATGATCGCTGTTTCAAGCTTATTCTTTCTGTAAACACTTTTCCTACGTTGTCAGCTGTTTAGAAGCCTATGTTAGCATTAAGCGTTGTTTAAATTCATAAGCAATACTACAGCTACTAAGAAAAAACAATTAATTCAGGTCTAGGGAGGTAAGGAGCGGGGGACAGAGGCATCCTGGTTTTCCCCAACGCTCTCCCCGTACTGATTTGCTCCCCATACCTGATGCCGTGCCACAGAAGCTGCTTCCCTTCCATTGTGAAGAAGAGATGGCTGAGGAGGTCTTGCAGGCATCATCCTGTCAACTGTGAGAGACAAAGTTAGTGGGAAGCCAGTAGCACTTGATGGTCTCTGAGATTAACGAATGCATGCCTAAGTACACACAGGCCTTGGAAAAAGTTTTATTTTTTAGTGTTTATAAAGAAATGTGTGTATACGTGTTAGTATTTCAGTTGTGTGAAAACACATTTCTACTTCTTTGGGCTTTTGTTCTCAACTCAAAAAGTGTATTGGAAATAAATGCATGTTTAAGCAGTGGAAAAAGCTAGAGAGGTGTCTTTTGTTCCAAATATTAAAGCAGCTCCTAGGTTTATTTTGCACTCAACAGAGGGAGACCGAACTGATATACATCCCATTCATCCTTACCAAGTGGACTCTGTTTGGTACCAAATGGAACCATCTTAGGAAAAACCGTGCTCCTTTCCGCAAACTGATTCCGTCTCTGAAACAGTAATGAAGAATCAAAACAAGGAATGGGGAGAAGGAATGACAGGAGCAAAATCCTAATGCAGAGGTCAGCAAACTTTTTCAGCAGGGGGCTGGTCCACTGTCCCTCAGATCTTGTGGGGGGGCAGACTTTATTTTTTTTTTGGGGGGGGGATGAAGAAATTCCTATGCCTCACAAATAACCCAGGGATGCATTTTAAATAAAAGGACATATTCTACTCATGTAAAAGCACACTGATTCCCGAACCGTCTGTGGGCCGGATTTAGAAGGTGATTGGGCCGGATCCGGCCCCTGGGCCTTAGGTGCCTACCCATGTCCTAATGGGATCTGGCCATCTTTCCTTGGATGCTTTACTGAAAAAGTTGGGCAAATAGCAGAGTTTTAAGATACCCTCCCTCATGTTCTGAACCCCCTGGGGACTATCTAGATGGAACACTCACCTGTGCCTCCTCCTGCTTCTTGTCTGCCTGGCTCAGGAGGAAACCTTCAGCCAGGGCCACAGCCTGGGAACAAGTGTCTGCTCCACAGCCTCTCACCCAGCTCTCCATCTCCGGTGGAAGGACAGCCAGGAACTGCTCCAGAATCACCAGGTCTAGGATCTCCTTCTTTGTGTGTCGATCTGGCTTCAGCCACTGACAGCAAAGATGGTGGAGTTGGCTACAAACCTCTCGGGGTCCTTTGGCCTCCTGGTAGCAGAACTGCCTGAACTGCTGGCTCTGCACATTTGAGCCGAGAGTGATTTTCTCACTCGGGACTTTCTGCACTGACTTTTCCCAGAATCTCCCACGGCTCTCAGTCTTGATGGCATCGTAGCCTCTTCCTGCTTCAGGGCCAGCCGAGTCTTCCTTTTTCTTCTGCACTCCAAGGAAGCCTCCAGGAAGTCGAAAGGAACTCCTTCGCTCTTCTGCCATTTTCTGCCTGTCCTAATTAACCAAGACATTTTTTTGTTATGGGATTGCTATACTGTAAGGAGAGGAAAAATACTCCCTGTTGAAGTATCTTTAGAAACCTGGGATGTATTATAGTGATGCAATAGCCCTTCTGGAAGAAAATTTTTCAAGTAAAATACGCAGCCCACCTTCTAAGTAGGCAGTTCTCAAAGTGCGGGTAATAGTAATAGTAATTTGTTATTTGTACCCCGCCCATCTGGCTGGCTTTCCCAGCCACTCTGGGCGGCTTCCAACAAAGATTAAAAATACATTAAAATGTCACACATTAAAAACTTCCCTGAACAGGGCTGCCTTCAGATGTCTTCTAAATGTCAGGTAGTTGTTTATCTCTTTGACATCTGATAGGAAGGCGTTCCACAGGGTGGGCGCCACTACCGAGAAGGCCCTCTGTCTGGTTCCCTGTAGCTTAGCTTCTCGCAGTGAGGGAACCGCCAGAAGGGCCTCAGAGCTGGACCTCAGTGTCCTGGCAAAACGATGGAGGTGGAGACACTCCTTCAAGCATACTGGGCTGAGGCCATTTAGGGCTTTAAAGGTCAACACCAACACTTTGAATTGTGCTCGGAAACGTACTGGGAGCCAATGTAGGTCTTTCAAGACCGGTGTTATATGGTCTCGGCGTCCGCTCCCAGTCACCAGTCTAGCCGCCACATTCTGGATTAGTTGTATAGTTTCGGGGTCACCTTCAAAGGTAGCCCCACGTAGAGTGCATTGCAGAGGCAGTTTCAGTCTGAGACACCAGAGGAGCTGGTCTGGTTTCTCACTACCTTACCATGTTTTGTTTTGTTTTTAAAAAATTGAAGTTGGAGCTGTGATTGACAGGTGAGTTGTTTGGATGCCAGGCAAGTGTTAGGCATCCCTGGGGACCTAAAAAGCTGCCATTTCGTCCTCTGATTTAATGCACATTTCATCCTAGCAACCAGAATGCAGCTTTCCTGTACATCTTAGATTAGGAATTAGGTTATTTTCTTCAAATACCTCTATGGAGTGTTTGTGGGTGGGTGCTAAAGAATCTCTTCCCCGCCAAAAAAATGGCAAATGCAAAAAACAAAACAAAAACAAGCTACAAAGAGGCTGTCCAGATGTTCATTAAGAATTCAGTGTATAGTTAACTTACAGCAGAATGTGTTGTGGGCATCAAGGAGTTAACACTCAGTGCTAAGTGGAAATGCTGACAGCATCATGTGACACGGGGCATTGCCTAATTGGTCTATAGCCACCTAGTATAAAAAAGTATGGCTGACAGCCCCTCTCTGGCATCTTACCTATATGTAGTCCCACCTGTGTATGCTGATTTCTGGATGTAAGAAGACTACTTTATAATGATACAAAACTGCAACTGGAATAAAGCCTCACTGAAAATACAGCTTGACTCTTGAGTGCTTCATGTGGGGCTTTCATACATTGCAACAGAATGGCATGCATGTCTACTCAGAATGCGTCTTACATGAGAGTTAAAGTGGGCACAGGATTGCGGTAACCAGATCACATTAAGATTGGTCGGAGCTGTACAAATTTGTGAGTGGCAGTTAGAAAAACAAGGCTCTATGCCATTCAAAGATGCATCACTCTGCTTAAAGGAAGCAAAAGCCCTTCTGCAGCCATTTTACTGTCTTTTCTCCAGTTTCACACCCACCATATGAGGTAGGTTTATCTTGTCGCATGACTGGAGCAAGGCAGTCCGTGAGCAAACAGAATAAGGGGAGTTCAAAATGTGAAACTGCCCAGACTTGTGGGGATTTTTTGATGCTGCTTCTCAAGGCTGGCAAAACAGGTTGTGTCTTTCCTTCTGCTGCAAAAGGAGAACAAGAAGAGCGGAACAAAGCCATCCAAAGACAGAGGAGGGCGGGGAGAAACTTGCTTTGTGTGGGTGGTCCCCCCCCTTCTGCCTTTCATTCTGGAGCAATGGTTTGGGGGAGCAGGATTGAAACAGCTCTGGGCAATGTGAGGAGGGCACAGTATGTGTAGCCTGAGATAAGGCTTAACCCTGAAAGATTGTCTTTTGGGTCCCTTCCAATTCTACAAATCCGTGATTCTATGACCTCCTTTGATGGCCAGAAGCACTGCGTCAATTTGCGCATCTGGCAACCTAGTAACTTAATGCCCACATCTATCTATCTGTCTGTCTATCTATCTATCTATCCATCTACCTACATTTATCTAGAAACAGGCCTGGCTTTGCAGAGACAGGGAGGGAGGGACAGAACTTCCACCCCCATGACCTCCTTTGATGGGCAGAAGCACTGCGTCAATTTGTGCATCTGGCAACCTAGAAACTCTATCTATCTATCTATCTACCTACATTTATCTATAAACAGGCCTGGCTTTGCAGAGACAGGGAGGGAGGGACAGAACTTCCACCCCCAATGACCTCCTTTGATCGGAAGAAGCACTGCGTCAATTTGTGCATCTGGCAACCTAGAAACTCTATCTATCTATCTATCTATCTACCTACATTTATCTATAAACAGGCCTGGCTTTACAGACAGGGAGGGAGGGACAGAACTTCCACCCCCAATGACCTCCTTTGATCGGAAGAAGCACTGCGTCAATTTGTGCATCTGGCAACCTAGAAACTCTATCTATCTATCTATCTATCTATCTATCTATCCATCTACCTACCTTTATCTATAAACAGGCCTGGCTTTGCAGAGACAGGGAGGGAGGGACAGAACTTCCACCCCCAATGACCTCCTTTGATCGGAAGAAGCACTGCGTCAATTTGTGCATCTGGCAACCTAGAAACTCTATCTATCTATCTATCTATCTATCCATCTACCTACATTTATCTAGAAACAGGCCTGGCTTTGCAGAGACAGGGAGGGAGGGACAGAACTTCCACCCCCTATGACCTCCTTTGATGGGCAGACGCACTGCGTCAATTTTCGCATCTGGCAACCTAGTAACGTAATGCCATCATCTACCTACCTACCTACCTACCTACCTACCTACCTTTATCTATAAACAGGCCTGGCTTTGCAGAGACAGGGAGGGAGGGAGAGAATTTCCACCACCTGATCCGGGGACTCGGAGTGTGTCCCCCTGACCCCCTCAGCACCCAAAAACACCCCCACCCCCCCGAGGACCCCACTTCCCAAAAACGCGCGCTCACCGGGTGCCGAAAGGGCGAGTGAGGGTGGGGCGTCCAGGAGAGACAAAGGCCACTTTCCCCAGCCCGAGAGGGAAGCCAGGAAGGAAGAGGCTTCGGAGGCCGGATGTTTTGCCAGCGCGCTTCCGCCCTGCCACTTCCTGTCCCCTCTAGGAAGCCACATCGCTGGTCACAGGGCGCCTGTTGGGCGTGCTGGTGGTCCCCGGGTTCCATTCCTGGGCGCCTCCGCTTAATCAGATCCAAGCAGCAGATCCAACCACCTCCCCCTTCTTGCAATGCCCAGCGCATTTCAGCCCCTGGGAATTATAGTTTGCGAAGGGCGCTGGGAACTGTAGTTCACAAGACGTAACCGGCTGTACGTTTGAAAAAATAATATATACTATTCATTGTACAGTGGTACCTCGGGTTACATACGCTTCAGGTTACAGTCTCTGCTAACCCAGAAATATTACCTCGGGTTGAGAACTTTGCTTCAGGATGAGAACAGAAATCGTGCGGTGGCAGCAGCAGAAGGCCCCATTAGCTAAAGTGGTGCTTCAGGTTAAGAACAGTTTCAGGTTAAGAACGGACCTCTGAATGAATTAAGTACTTAACCCGAGGTACCATTGTATTGAATTGTCGATTTCAACAGAAGTAGCTCATAAAGTTCAATGAAACAGTGGATCAGTTCATTCTCTAATCAGTTTATGCATAAGGTCCATATATGTGAAAGTGTCTATTCCACCTGTTGGTTCATAGAGTCCAAGAATCCACATGAAAGGTTGTTGCAGTTGCACAGAATCCTTTCACAGAGTCTCAGACAAGGATTTCTGGAATAGTAGCCTTGTTTCGCCATCCTAGGCTTCACCAGTAGTACAAACTCATATATGATATCACAGGACAGTGGATCTTATAGTATAGTAGTTTGTACTACTGATGAAGCCTAGAACGGCGAAACAAGGCTAATATTCCTCTGTGAAAGGAATAAACTGATTAGAGAATAAACTGATCCACGGGGTCTTCTACTTGTCTTGTTGAACTTTATGAGCTACTTCTGTTGAAATCTATAATTCAATACAATGAATAATGGTAAAGGGACCCCTGACCATCAGGTCCAGTTGTGGCCGACTCTGGGGTTGCGGCACTCATCTCACTTTATTGGCCGAGGGAGCCAGCGTACAGCTTCCAGGTCATGTGGCCAGCATGACTAAGCAGCTTCTGGCGAACCTGAGCAGCGCACGGAAATGCCGTTTACCTTCCCGCCGGAGTGGTACCTATTTATCTACTTGCACTTTGACGTGCTTTCGAGCTGCTAGGTTGGCAGGAGCAGGGACCGAGCAACGGGAGCTCACCCCATCACGGGGATTCGAACCACCGACCTTCTGATCAGCAAGCCCTAGGCTCTGTGGTTTAACCCACAGCGCCACCTGCGTCCCTAATTAGAAGGCTCCTAATTGGAAGAAGACAACACCAGCCACGTTACCACACCTTTTGAATTATTGCTTCATGAAGATCTAGGATATGTTATTTTTATTTCATGTGATGGTTTTGAGAAATATGCTCACCATCAGCAATGGGACAAGTTAAACCTGACATTCTGGTGCGGGGATATCCATTATCGACAACTGCATTGTGTATGCACGAATAGACTCTGTCAGGAACATAATTATCACCATTATGTAAAGGTATGAAATACCTTCTGGTATTTCATTCCCTCATCTCACCATTTACAACCCCTCAGAGCATGGGGATAACATAACTGAGGATAGCATTTTATGCATCTGATGAAGGGGGTTGTAGCCCACAAGAGTTTCTGCTTGAATCAATTTCTTACTGTTTTAAGTTGTCACAGGACTGCTTTTAGTCTCATGGATTTCAGTGGGGCTAAAGCATGTATAAACAATATCATTCAAATCCATGGTAACAGTGGGCAGTAAACCTCTGCAGCTAGGTTCCCATCAGCCCAACACTCCCAACGAACACTAGGTATTAAGCAAAACAGAAATAATTACAGAAAATGAGGGCAAGTTAAGTTTTTGGATAAGGGGCCGTCACTTGGTCAATCTCTGTACAGTGGTACCTTGGTTCTCAAACACCTTGGTACTCCAATAACTTGGAACCCAAACACTGCAAACCCAGAAGTAAGTGTTCCGGTTTGCAAACTTTTTTTGGAACTCGAATGTGCTCCATTTTGAGTGCCACACTTCTGTTTGGAATGTTACCCTGACAATTTGAGTGTAACGCTTCCGATTTGAGTGCAACACTTCCAATTTGAGCGTTACACGCTGAGGTCTGTCTGTTCTTGCTTTCTATTTTGCATTTTTGTTTTTGCGGCTCTTTTTTGTGTGTGACTGTGTGGAACCCAGTTCAGCTGCTGATTGATTGTGTGACTGCAGTACATTGTTTATTGCTTTCATTTTATGGATCAGTGGTCTTGTTAGATAGTAAAATTCATGTTAAATTGCTGTTTTAGGGGCTGTTTTTAACAGTCTGGAATGGATTAATCCATTTTGCATTACTTTCTATGGGAAAGTGCCCCTTGGTTTTGGAACGCTTTGGTTTTGGAACGGACTTCCAGAACGGATTAAGTTTGAGAACCAAGGTACCACTGTACTGCTAATTGCTATCAAGTCTTGCTTCATTTCATCTTGGGAGACAGGAAGTCTGGTCTTTAAATTAATCTCAAAAACCATAGTAAGGGCCAAAGCGAGAGGGCGATTCCAGCATGCTTCAATGCTTCTGCCAACTCCCAAATCCAGCTGTGATCCAAATAACAGGTTGCATTGAGCTGCTATGCTTACAGCAGGCAACAGGCACACAGAGCCAAAGAAAGCGGTATTTATTTTTTTCACACTTTGGCTGCGAAAGAAGTCTCTGTTGCAAGTGTTCAGAAAAACAAAACAAAACAGGTTTCTAAGCCCTTCCCCTATACACACATTGGAGTGGGTGGTTTTTATTTATTTATATTTAACAAAACCTGATATGCCACCGGATGGTAACAAAACCTCTTAGGCAGTTTACCAGAAGTGTCAAAGCTATCAATTAAAAAACGTTGAAAACATTCAAAAACATTTAAATTAAACAGCAAAGTTAAAACCGTGAAAATGTTAACATTAACAATATAAGATTGAAACACATCAACATCCATGCATCTGGAAAGGTTTGCCTGAACAAACATACGTTAAGCTGGTGCCGAAAAGAGTACAGCAAAACTGCCTGCCTGACATCAATAGGCAGAGAGGAATTTCAGCTACGAAGTGATCCTATCACAAGAACTCCAACTCGCTCTGCGAACAGGGATCATCAGGAATCTCTGGAGACTTCATTCTCTACTCAGGATCCTTGGGAGCCGGGGGAGGGGGGGGGCGCATGAGGGCATCACACCCCAGTATACCGCAACACTATTTGTAAACAACATATTTACAACATCAATGTACATTTTACAGTACATTTTATGTTACATTTGCATTCAATAATAGCTGAGGGGAAAGGTCCGAAAGGTGACAGATTGGTAGGTAGGATACTCATCTTGAGGAAGAACAACAAGCCTTCTTGGTCATGTGAGACTCGACAATCTGTGGGGTGCAAGGCCTCCGGTGAAGAGGGTCGCAAGGCCTTGACTGGAGACATGCTTTCAAAAACATGCCGACTGTTATAACTGACTGAATCTCAGTTAACACCGGGGAGGAAGTAGAACAGTGTCAGCTGTTCAAGGAAAATATGTGAGACAGTGACAAAAATCCCCCACTGGCGAAGATCTGGTGCTCTGTCCATGTGGCATGGAATAAGGTGTAAGACGCTGGCACTGGGCTGAGCCATGTTATTCAGAATCTTGGTTCAATCTGAGCCTTCTTCCATGTATCATACAGGTGCAGATGATAACTGGAGTTGCTGAAGGAAATAAACATTGCTTGCTGTTGAACCCAACCACCTCTGAGGTATGATGAACAGAGGACTCTTTCTTCCTAATGGGACTCCTTTCCTTTACCTTCTTACAGAGGAAAACCTCAAACTTGTGGCTTTTCTGGCAGATGTCCTGTGTGTTCAGCAGACATGAGGAGGAGCCACAATCTGATGCTACCACCATCCTAGACATGCTGAGATGATGGTGGCGATCAGGAGCACCTTAATTCGCAAAGGGGCCAAAGAAAACCCCTGCGTTGATGGCTACCTCATCAGTGTTGCTGAATCTCTCTTTATCCTCTCTCCAGACATGAAGAAGGTATTCAACCCCTTGGCCAATGACATGTACCTCACAGAGCTGTTGTTAGCCGTTCTGAGTCTGGCTTTGGCTGGGGAGGGCGGGCTATAAATAAAATATTATTATTATTATTATTATTATTTGAAATGAAGTAATACTGGGCACTGAAAATGCAGTTCATGGTTTTGAGAAACAGCAGCAACTTTTTCGCTCCATTGGCAAATGATGAGATCCTATTGCAATCCTCACCCGTGTACTAAATAAAATCTCCTAAAAATAAATTTGTATACAGCCATTGATATGGTTTCTCCCCACTGTGAGTTCTTTGATGGGAAGTGAGATTGGAGCTCTGGCTGAAGCTCTTTCCGCATTCCATGCACTGATACGGCTTCTCGCCAGTATGGATTCTTTGGTGGGAAGTGAGACTTTCCTTCCGACTGAAACTTTTCCCACACTCTTGACACTGAAATGGTTTCTCCCCACGGTGAATACTTTGATGACTATGGAAGTTTGTGCTTGTATTAAAGCATTTCCCACATTCCAAGCACTGATATGGCTTCTCCCCACTATGAATTCTCTGATGTCGACGGAAGTTTGTGCTTGTATTAAAGCTCTTCCCACATTCCAAGCACTGATATGGTTTCTCCCCTGTATGAATTCTTTGATGGGAAGTGAGACTTTCCTTCCAGGTGAAGCACTTTCCACATTCTAAGCACTGATACGGTTTCTTCCCACTATGAACTCTTTGATGGGAAGTGAGACTTCTCTTGGAATTGAAGCTATTTCCACATTCCAGACATTTAAATGGTTCCTCCCCTCTGTGAATCCTTTCATGTAAAGTGAGATTCGAGTTTCGAGTGAAGCTCTTTCCACATTCCAAGCAGTAATATGGCTTCTCCTTGGTGTGGATTCTTTGATGGGACGTGAGGTGCGAGTTCCGACTGAAGCTCTTCCCACATTCCAAGCACTGATAGGGTTTCTCTCCAGTATGGATTCTTTGATGGGAAGTGAGATTTGAGCTCTGACTGAAGCTCTTTCCACATTCTGAGCATTGATATAATTTCTTCCCAGTGGGATTTCTTTGATGGGAAGTGGAATGAAACCTCTGACTGAAGCCATCTCTACACTCCAAACGTTCATAAGGGATTTTGTTGTTGTCTCCCTTGTTCTTAATTTCCGGTTTATCACCACCTGTAAATAAAGAAAGAAACGGATCAGAGCCTCAGGAAGAAATAGGCCCCCAAATTATTGAACAATGCTAATTAACATTTGTGATAGAAGAATAGTAGGGAGTTTGATGTGTGGTCTTACTACAGGGTTCACTGCCTTTGTTGAATCGCAACATATTTATGGGAACATGAGATTCGAGAAACCTGGCTCTTTTATGTGATGGATTTTGTTTGGCCCAGTCACGGAATCCAGTCCATCTCTGGTGTCAGTAGTCTCTTTGGCCAACCAAAAACTGACAGAAGCAAAAATAAAAAACAACAAACCTGACAGAATCTACTTCCAGCTTCCCTAACAACTCTGAAGCTTACATTTAAAAAGGCCTGGGCAGTTCAGACCAGCCTGATCATTGTTCAAAATGGCAAAACTGGAGAAAGATTATTCACAGTCAAAACAACAGATACTGTCCATTCAAGGTTATCTGTTGGGTGTAAGAACCCCAGATGTGCAGTTGAGCTACATCAAAATATTGGAGGATCATCACAGATAGGTACTGAATTTCAAAAAAGAGATTATCATCCAACAGGGAGCCTTACTCAGAAAAGCCATGATCCCACAGTTTTCCTCCATGACTTCGTTATGCAGAGCTCTCTGGTCAGCATCCAGCAACGCCCACTCCTCATCTGTGAAATAAACTGCTACCTCTTCAAAGCAAACTGGACCCTAAAGAAAAAGAAAAATGTTCTTCTCTTAGACAGCATAAATATTATTTACACATTGCTCTGTTGTTTTCTGCCTGTTAATTGTTTGTTGTTGACAGAATATGCGCAGCTTGCAGACTTAACATACAGAATAAGACAAGAAGAACATACGTTTGGAGAAGATAGGAAAACGTTTATTGAACATATGGGAAATAATTGTTTACAGCTGAAAACACCGGCAGCATTAAGATAAATTCAACAGTGTAAATAAGCTTTGATGGATGCAATAATGGAATACCGAATGGTATAGTTTTTGTAAAACATGCAGCGATTTATGATATGTGATATGAACCATGGAAAGACTACAAGGGAAGTCATTGATATCTTAAAGGTAAAGGACCACTGACAGTTAAGTCCAGTCACAAACGACTCTGGGGTTGCGGTGCTCATCTTGCTTTACTGGCCGAGGGAGCTGTCGTTTGTCATGTGGCCAGCATGATTAAGCCGCTTCTGGTGAAATCAGAGCAGTGCATGGAAATATCGTTTACCTTCCCGATGGAGCGGTATCTACTTGCACTTTGACGTGCTTAAGGATGTAAAAATGAGTATTTTAAATTGCAAAACAGAAAATATTATTAAAACAACAAACTCTCTCCCTCTCTCTCTCTCTATATATATACACACACTATATATATATATAGTTTGTTGTTTTAATGGAATTGTTTTGCTGCACATTTTAATTATGCATGCTTATTTTAATGTTTTAATGAGATTTTTTTTGTTGTGCGTTTTAATGGTGGGCATTAATCGTTGTATAAATGGGTGGAACTCAACAGTCTGCTCTCCAAATCATTCTGTCTGCGTGGGCATTCAAGTTTGCAAGATGGAAGCATCCCCTCTCCACTCTCTCCAAATGCCGGTTTTTTTTTGGGGGGGGGTGCCCGAAAGCCAACTTCAAGGGGCATAAGGGGGGGGGTGGAGTGAAATGGCGAAAGTCCTATGGTGCAACTGATGGGGTGGTTAGGTGAATCCTGGATGCTGTTTGCTGTGGTTTGCAAACTACTTAGAAGCCTATTTTAGCATCAAACAATGAATATATAAATAAAACTCCAAGTACCGATAAATGATGCTAATGATATTCAGAAGGCTAGTTAAGGTGGGGCGGCTGTTATTCTCAGCACATAAACCTTATTGAATAGCTTTTCCAGCTTTTGTTAAGGGCAGCTTTGACAGAAGCAAAGAGGAGGAGAGAAATTCGTTCCAGCCCAGAGGCACACAACTGCTCCTCTCTTCAGCCTCTTTCCCCACAATGCTCCTTCCTCTTACCTGATCTGGTTCCACAGCCGCTGCTTCCCCTCGGCTACCATGAAATGATGGATGAGGAGGTCTTGCTGGCATCATTCTGTCACCTGCGAGAGACAAAGGTAATTTGGGAAGCCGTTCTCTCAGAGGTTAAGCAGTGCATCTCTAACTACAGGTGGGCCTTTGAAACAGTCTCACCTGCTGACTGCATGTGCATGTTTACACCCAGTTGTGTAAAAATACATCTCTCCTCCCGTGGGCTTTCGGACCCAAGCGTAAAAGATCATAGTCAACGTTTCCCTTTTTTAAAGGGAAATTCCCTTATTCCGAATAGGATTCCTCGCAAGAAAAGGGAAAAGTTGACAGCTATGAAAAGGACTCACAGATTAGTTTCAAAATCAACAGGATGTGACCAAATGGAGAGAGAAAAAAGAATTCATCCTTACCCGGTGGCCTTTCTCTGGTTTCCAACTGAGTCTTCTTCACCTCAGAGTAGCCAGTGCCCATTTCTGCAAACAGATCCTTTTTCTGTAAGAGCAACAAGGATTCAAAACAAAGAATGGGGAGAAGGATTAGAAAAACACCGGCAGAGGCAAAAACTTTAAGGGTATCAGGATGCTTTTCAAAAAAGGGATGGGCAATTAGTAGAGAATTTTGGGAGATTCTCCCTCATGTTCTGAGCCCCTTGGGATTATCCAGAGGAAAGTCCCTCTCACCTGCTGCTCAGCTTGACTCAGGAGGAAACCTTCGGCCAGGGCCACCGCCTGGGAACTGGTCTCCGCTCCACATTCCCTCACCCAGCTCTCCATCTCTGGTGGAAGGATAGCCAAGAACTGCTCCAAGATCACCAGGTCCAGCATCTGAGCTTTCGTATGCCTTTCTGGCTTCAGCCATTGGTGGTAAAGGTGGTAGAGTCGGCTGCAAACGTCTCGGGGTCCCTCGGCCTCCTGGTAGCAGAATTGCCTGAACTGCTGGCTCTGGGCATTTGAGCTGGGGGTGTCCTCCTCACCTAGGATCTTCTGCACAGAGTTTTCCCAGAATCCCCCACTGTTCCCAGTTTGGATGGCACTGCCCCTTCCTGCTTCAGGGCCAGCTGAGTCTTGTTCATCCATATGGGCTCTCAGGAAACCTCCAAAGGATCTGAAGGAATCCCTTTGTCTTATGCCAAGTTCTGTCTGTCCAAACCTACAGAGCAAATACATAATTCTGTTGTAAAACTTAAAACACTGTCAGGAGAAGCAAAATGTTTCCTGAGCAAGCAGGAACCAGGGCTAGACTGTACCAGCTCAGACTCTGTGACTGTAAGTTGTTTTAAACTGGAAGCTGCCCAGTGTGGCTGGGGCAACCCAGTCAGATGGATGGCATAAAATAATAATAATAATAATAATAATAATAATACAATACCTCAAGGACTCTTTCCATATGAACCTACCCGCACCCCAAGATAAACTTCTGAGGCCCTTCTTTGTGTGTCTTCTCCTCAAGAGGTTCAAAGGGTGGTGACATGAGAACAGGGCCTTCTCTGCAGTGGCTCCCCGTCTGTGGAATGCTCTCCCCAGGGAAGTTCGCCTGGTGTCTTCATTATACACCTTTAGACGCCTTTGGTTGATCTGATTTACATCCTATACCATTTTAAAATGTGTTTTCTGAGGGGGAGGGAATTGGGTTGTTTTTGTTTTTATTTTGCGGTTTTATATCTTGATTTTATTCTGTGAACCACCCTGAGACCCCTGGGTATAGGGTGGTATATAAATTCAATAAATAATAAGTTGTGTTTTCATGTTGTAACTTGCCCATGGAACTTAGGGTGAAGGGTGGTTTAATAGTAATAATAATAATAATAATGATAACAATAATACTACTACTAGTAATAATAATAATAATAATATTACACCCCCCAGCCATATATGTTGACATCATCCTCTGTCTGGCTCTGCCTAGCAGAATCGGAATGAAATGTCTTGACAACAGTTGTTTTAAATTACTTTCTGTTGACCCCAAGTGCTCAGAAAAATCGGTCAAAAGCTTTCTACTTTTAGTTAAGTGTTTTTATTTATTTAATTGATCAGGAGGGGCAGTTGCCCCCCCAGGCCTATGCCCATGGCAATAATAACAACCTCAACATCAATAACATAAAGCCTCGAACGTGGGGGGAAATGCCTCAATAATACACACATAGAGCCTCAAAAAAGTGGGGTGGGGGCGCCTGTTGGAATTTGCAGGCTACCCCCCCCCTTTGAGGTTTTTGCATAAGTAACCACACACACTTTACAGCATGGGGGGGGGGGAACCTCAAGAAAACAAATATACAGGCCTCGTCTGCACTATATATTTTAAAGAGTCATGGCGCCCTCCAAAGGATCCTGGTACCCATAGTTTAAGGATGCAGTGCGTTGCTAGGACACACCCACCCTGACCCACACATGCATTCCAGTTACACGGCTGCCATCCCTAGGTTGGTTTAACAATCAATCCTTCTTGCCAAGGAACCCTGGGAATTGTTGGGGTTAAAATAAAACAGGAACAGGAACAGGGCATCCCTATTTTCACGGGAGAAATGTTGGAGGGTATTATTATTTTCTCCACCCAGCAACTGCTGGTCAGAAGCACGGTTGCTACCCATCTTAAGACTCCTGCAGCCGCGAGTTCCACAGTTCCTCCATTTCCCAACGGCCATGATTTCTTCTCATTTCTATAGGTCAGGTATTCATTTTTAATTTTTTAAAACTTATATTCTATGCCCGGCTGCAACCTCTGCTACCGATGCGACTTATTCCCAAATGTGGTTTGTTTGCATTCCCTTCCCCCTCCCCCGCCTTAAAGACCCCCCCTCCCCAAAGTGGCAAAGGGAGACTAGAGGTGCAAGACCTATTGCAAACTCGCCCCCCCCCCGGCATTGCAGAGAGGGGGGGTACTTCTGCTCCCTGATTTGGGGGTGGTGGCTGGATGGCTGCCCCCCCAAGTATTAGCTGAACAACCCCCCTCATGCATGCTCCCCCTGCAGCCCTGGGACACCCCCTTTCTCCCCAATGCATGCTATGGAAGAAAGCGGAGAAGCCTCACCAGATCCCTACGGCACTTCAGACACAAAAGCCACCGCCAGCTCCCTTTGCAGGAAGGGAATTCAGAGGGAGGTGCTTTTGCTCTGGAGGACTTCGCCCCCCCCCGCTTTATTTCCCCGTCCTCTCTAGGAATCCAGCTCACTTCTTTTTAACCCTTGGCAAGCCGAGCGCACCAAGCTGGCGCCTCTCTCCCTCTCTGCGCCAGGAGCCAAGGAGAAGAGTTTGGACTTGATATCCCGCTTTATCCCTACCCTAAGGAGTCTCAAAGCGGCTAACAATCTCTGCAGATGCCTTTATTTTGGGGGGACCCCCTTGACTGGGTTTCTGAGCATAGCTGTCAACGTTTCCCCCTTTTTAAGGGAAATTACCTTATTCCGAATAGGATTCCTCGCTGTGTTTCTGAGCTGTCCCCTCCCTTGGCCAGAAACAGCTTGCAGTGAAGTAGTCTCTGCAAGGACTTAGGAAGCCCCATCATAGAATCATAGACTTGTAAAGGTGAAAGGGAACCCCAAGGGTCATCCAGACCAACCCCATGCAAAGCAGGTGTAAAAAACAAAAACCTGCCCTTATTCCCTTATGGGGGACACAAGAGCCCTTATAGAGTCTTTTGTAGGTTCTCCATCGGTAGGAGAAGGAGGAGGCCAACCAGAGAATATTTAGAAGCAAAGCAGCTCGTAAGCCTGATCTTTATTGAACTGTTGCAACAGGGTGCTCCCCTCACACGCAGGAGGATGGAGGAGGACCCATAACAAAGGTGTGCCTTATATAGACATTTTAAATTCCCTGCCCTGGAGCTCCAGACCACCCCTCCATATATCATACATACATCACAGAAGGGGTGTAACCCAAGACCACCCGCCACAAACATCATACCTACATCACAGAAAAGGTGATCTACAACAGAAATTTGAATGTTGTTGTTTTTCCTGTTTGCCAGGTTATCTGACAATGCCTTATCTAATTGCCTTTCCTGGTTGTCTGGCCATTTCTTTGAGATGGTTATTTCCCAATTCCGGAGACAATGGGAAGGTTCCCTCACCCCCTCCCTCCTTGCAGAGAAAACATTTGGTCAATTTGAGAGTCAAAATGGTTTCAGGGCGGTCTTCCTGTGCTGCTCCAGACATGTGGTCCACATCTCTATGTACGTGCTTGGTCGGTACATTTATGAACATTTATTATATATATAAGACCTTAAATTTTGTATTTCACAGGACTCTCAACTCAAAGCATCCATGACAGAGGACCAACTAACCTCTGCTTAAAAACCTACAAGGAAGGAGAGTCTGCCACTTCCCAATGAAGCCCATTCCACTGTCAAACAGCTCTTACACAGTCCTGATGTTTAGTCGGAATCTGCTTTTTTTTGGGTCATTTGGGTCTATTATTTTGAGCCCAGGCCTCTGGACCAGCTGAAAACAAGCCACGTGACAGCCCGTTAACTATTAGAAGATGGATATCATATCTCCCATTCAGCCAGATCTCAGCTGAATGGTGAGCAAGGCTCCTGCTTTTTCTGCGACTGAAGGTGGGAGGTGGTACACCCATCCCATTAAATATTTTTAATTGCGTTTTAGTTCCTTCTCTTGCTCCTCGCATTCTATTGCATTGCAGTTCAACTTCTGTAGAAATGTGGCTAAGATGCAATATGTAAGATATAAAAGAAACCATAGAAATAGAATTAAAAGATCATCAGGAACGCTTTAGTTGAGAGTCCTGCATCGCAGGGGGTCCCTAGGATTAGACTTCTAAAGCCTCTGGAACTCTGGCTAAATTGACATACAAACTGTGAGACAAGGACAACTGTAACTTTAAAGAATGGGAACTTTTCACAAAGTTTTTAAAATACAACAAAATGAATTGGACTCCTTGGCAGGTTTTGGATAAACACACAAATTTGTTGACTGATAACATGGTAGATAGATAATATGAGGATTGATATAACTTTATAATATGCAGAGAATAACATGTGCTGAGAAATCAGAGAGAGGAGCTGAAGGAAGTCTGGGGGGGAGGGGGGTTTGATGGGGAGGGGGGAAAAAGATACGTTTTGATATACAGTGGTGCCTCGCAAGACGAAATTAATTCGTTCCGCAAGTTTTTTCTTCTTGCGAGTTTTTCGTCTTGCGATGCACGGTTTCCCATAGGAATGCATTGAAAATCAATTAATGCGTTCCTAGGGAAACCGACTTCAGACCAGGTCCGGGGACAGTCTGTCCCCCGACCTCTTCTGAAGGCTGGGGGGACAAGGGCTTTTCTTCCCACCCCCAGCATTTTAAAAAACCCCGGGACAGCGGAGAGCTTCTCCGCTGTCCGGGGCGATCTTAAAATGCTGGCGGGCGGCATTTTAAAATTGCCCCGGACAGCGGAGGACTTCTCTGCTGTCCGGGGCAATTTAAAGTCCCTGGGAAGGCAGGCAGGGGGGACAAAGACTTTGCCCCCGCCAGCCTTCAGAAGAGGTCCTGGACCTCTTCTGAAGGCTGGCGGGGGCGAAAGTCTCTTGTCCCCCCCACCTGCCTTCAAAAGCTGTCCAGCCAAGGCTTCGCGGACCTCTCCGCAAGCAGCGGCAGCACTGCCGCTGCTTGCGGAGAGTTGCCGGCATGCCGAAGCCTGCGCGCGCTGAGATCAGCGCGCCCAGGCTTCGCGGACCTCTCCCGCGAGCAGCGGCAGCGCTGCCGCTGCTCGCGGAGAGTTGCCGGCATGCCGGAGCCTGGGCGCGCTGAGATCAGCGCGCCCAGGCTTCGCGGACCTCTCCGCGAGCAGCGGCAGCGCTGCCGCTGCTCGCGGAGAGTTGCCGGCATGCCGAAGCCTGCGCGCGCTGAGATCAGCGCGCCCAGGCTTCAGCGGACCGGAGATTTCCTATGGGCTTTCGTCTTGCGGCAAGCCCATAGGGAAATTGCTTTACGAAGCGCCTCCAAAACGGAAAACCCTTTCGTCTAGCGGGTTTTTCGTCTTGCGAGGCGTTCGTCTTGCGGGGCACCACTGTACTGTTATGTTGAAATTGTTTATACTCTCTCTCTCTCTCTCTCTCTCTCTCTCTCAATAGCCTCTGGAACTCACCGCCAGATGATTCCTCCTCCTCCTCCCAAGCACTGATGAAGCAACAAGCCTGGCCGGGGGTCACCCCCAGAATTTGGTGGTGGCCAGGAAACGGATTGCACAAATCACCCCTTTCCTCCACCTTCTTCTCACCCCTTTTCCTTGCTCAGCACATGAAATAAATATTTGCAGCGGGATCTTCAGGAGAGGCAGACCTTGCAAAGGAGGTTCGTGCTGTTGCTCCTGCTTTGCTCAGGTTATATTACGGGGTGCGAGCGAAGGAACCCCAAAAGCCTTAGCCGGATCAAATGATTTGGAAACGGCGATGGCTGTAGTCAGCTTTGAGTGGCAAGACGAAAATCAATCAATAAATAAATCCACCTCAGGGTTAATGGGAGAGAGTCCGGATGCCTAGAAACGCAGCTAGACACCCACTTCCTGCCCCCCATCTCCCTCCTCCCCCCATCTGCAGCCTTCGCGCCCCTTCCCCGCCCACCTCCCCAAGGGATCGGGGTGAGTGCAAAGTGCATTTGGGTGGGAAGGCGCAGTGGAAGGGGGGGCGATGGAAGGAGGGGGAAATGGGGGCGGGATGGTGGGGGGGCACTGTGTGTTAAAAGCAAATGCAAAGGGCGTGGGGGTGCAAGGGAACCCCGAGGGCTGGAGGAGGGACGATGCAAAGGGGTGAGCAATTCCTGGTGTTGCACTGGGAAGAAAGAGCGCCTGAGATTCCCCGCCCCATAGCATAGGATGGTGGGCCTTTTCTGGGTCCGGCATTAACCGAGAGCCCAATTTTTGAGGCGTCACCCCGAGCAACCACCTCATCTGTTGCCTCTTCTCCATCTCCAGGGAAACCAGCTGAGTGAAAAGCACGTCAAGGATTATCTGGGAGTGAAATGGGGGGCGGGGAGCTTTGGGGTGGGAAGGAGGAGGAGGAAAAGACTGGGGAGATCTCCTCCACCCCACACCTCCAAAGGGAGATGGGCTTTGCAACGGACCCATCTGCGTTCATTCCATTCTTACTCCGTTCTGCATCAGTACAAATATGTTACTCACTACTTTTGGGGCGTTGTATTTGTGTCTGTGTGTCTTCAGGTTGCTGGGGAAATGATATGCATATAAACCAAAGCCAAACTTATTAATAATGTCAGCAATATCTAGGCAACACGATGCCCATGTACATACGCAATAGACAATCTTTATAGAATTCCTTTAAGAATTTAAGAATTCTTCGTCGGCAAAACAGTAGTCCATATCCGGAATCACTGTTCCGTGTTGGACATCATATTTGCTGAATACACAAAACTTCACAGCTTGTCTTTCATCGTACAAAGTCTGGTACCTCGCTTCATTTAAAGATTTCCAGAGACTTTGAGACTAAAGATTTCATTTTGTCCTTGTTATGGTTCAAAGGAATTCTATAAAGACTGTCTATTGCGTATATACATGGTCATCGTGTTGCCTAGATATTGCTGACGTTCTCTTTGCAACACAGGGGTTTGTTTGGTTACTTATAAATGTACTAATAAGGCAGATCTATGAATAGTGGGTGGAGCTGGACAGAAAAATTTGGACACGAAATATGCGTAAAAATAAAAACTTGACCTATTCAAGTAATGGCACAATGGGTCATCATATCTCGCTGTTAACCAGAAGGCGGGTGGTTTAAACTCTCCCGGGGACGGCTGTGGGCAGGATTCCTGCATCGCAGGGGGTCAGACTAAATGACCCACTGGACCCCTTCCAATTCCACAGCTCTATGATTCTAATCAAGCATACAGAAAAGAAAACAACAACAGAATCTTAAATCTCAAGGGAAGTCACATGAACTTGTCTATAAATCGTAAAACAATACCTGGGGCTCCTTTGGAACTCCCACATCTTGGTGCTTATTTTCTTCTCCCTTCCCCTCTGCTAAGCGAGCAGTGGGGGAGCAGACACACACACACACACACACACACACACACACACACACAGCCAGGCTCAGTGAGGAGGGGGCATCCTGTATGGGAGGGATTATTTGGGTTGCTACAGTGCCAGAGATGCTCTGTCATCTTGCCTGAATGTGCACCGGATCAGGGTTTGGGTCTGTGAAACCCACTGCCTCTCGTCTCCAGTCCTCTGAGTCCTCTAGACTCAGGTCTTGCAGTTCTCATTTGCCTTCCTTGCAGGGACGAGTCCCTGTCTACCCAGAATCCTCCAGTGCTTCTTGCAAAGCCTCCTACCATTTGGTCCATGCGGTGGTCTCACTCTGAAGGACTTGAGACCTTTGCAAAATGTCGTCATCACTTCCTCCTTACTCAAGTATCTAGTCCTTTCTCTTCCTTCTTTGCAGGCACCGGTCCTGGTCTCTATTCAGAATTCTCCAGTGCTTCTTGCATAGCTTTCTCTAGTTCCAGGCATGTGAAAAGCGCCTTTTCTCCCGCCAGAACTCACCGGAACTTGGGTGGGTGACATTGCTATTCTAAGAGAACAAGGGAGGCATTCGTGGTGAGTTCTGGCGCTTCTTTTTCTAGGAAAATAGCACTGTGTGTGACAACAACAACAACAACAACTAATAATAATAATACCATGCCCATCTGGCTGGGTTTCCCCAGCCACTCTGGGTGGCTCCCAAAATAATAATAATAATAACCCGTCCATCTGGCTGGGTTTCCCCAGTCACTCTGGGCAGCTTCCAACAGAATATTAAAATACAATAGTCTATTAAACATTAAAAGCTTCCCTAAAGAGGGCTGCCTTCAGATGGGCAGCTTCCAACAGAATATTAAAATACAATAGTCTATTAAACATTAAAAGCTTCCCTAAAGAGGGCTGCCTTCAGATGTCTTCTAAAAGTCTGGTAGTTATTCTTCTCTTTGACATCTGGTGGGAGGGCGTTCCACAGGGCAGGTGCCACTACCGAGAAGGCCCTCTGCCTGGTTCCCTGTAACTTGGCTTCTCGCAGCGAGGGAACTGCCAGAAGGCTCTTGGCACTGGACCTCAGTGCCTGGCTTAACGATGGGGGTGGAGATACTCTTTCAGGTATACTGGGCCGAGGCTGTTTAGGGCTTTAAAGGTCAGCACCAACACTTTGAATTGTGCTTGGAAACGTACTGGGAGCCAGTGTAGGTCTTTCAAGACCAGTGTTATGTGGTCTCGGTGGCTTAAAAACAAGATAAAACATCAAACATTAAAAGCTTCCCTAAACAGGGCTGCCTTCAGATGTCTTCTAAAAGTCAGGTAGTTGTTTATTTCCTTGACATCTGATGGGAGAGCATTCCACAGGGTGGGCACTACTACGTAGAAGGCCCTCTGCCTGGTTCCCTCACAGTGAGGGAACTGCCAGAAGGCTCTTGGAGCTGGACCTCAGTGTCCGGGCTGAACGATAGGGGTGGAGATGCTCCTTCAGGTCTTGAGTCCTTTGCAAGATGCTGTTGTTGTCACCTCCTCCTTACCCAAGTTTCTAGTCCTCTTTGGGTTCTCATCTGCCTTCCTTGCAGGAACCTGCCCCAGTCTATACCCAGAATCCTCCTGTGCTTCTTGCAGACTCCTCTTCCTGAGAGGGGCGTGTGACACTTGCGCACCGAAGGACTCCACACATTTGCAAGGAGATGTCGTCGCCGTCTCCTCACCCCAAATTCAGGCCATCCTTGCCTCCGGACAGAAACTGGCATCAGAGCAAGGAGATCATCAGGGTCCTGTTAGAGGCTGAGCTGGAGCAGAGGTCAAAGGTGGAAGAGCAAGACTCGGACGACTCCAAAGAGAGAAGAAGCCCCCGCATCGTCCAGGCGGGAGGCAGCAGCCAGGAATGCTGGGAAAGAAGAGAGCAGAAGATCCTGGACGAGGGCAACGCCAGCTCGGATGTACAACGCCAGCGTTTCAGGGCGTTCTGCTACCAGGAGGCCGAGGGGCCCCGAGAGGTTTGTGGCCGACTCCACAACCTCTGCTACCAGTGGCTGAAGCCAGAGCGGCACACCAAGAAGCAGATCCTGGACCTGGTGATCCTGGAGCAGTTCCTGGCTGTCCTCCCCCCGGAGATGGAGAGCTGGGTCAGGGATTGTGGCCCAAAGTCCACTTCCCAGGCGGTGGCCCTGGCCGAAGGTTTCCTCCTGAGCCAGGCAGAGCACAAGAAGCAGGAGGAGGAGCAGGTGAGAAAGTGTTCCATCCTAGTACTTCCAATGGGTTGAGAATGTGTGGGGACAGCCCCCTAAAAAGTCTCACTGGCCACCCACCTTTTCTCAGATGTTGCCCAAATAAGGGATTTATTGCTTGTCTCTTTAAAAGCATTTCTAGACCGATAGAAAAACCTCCAGGTGGCAACAGATCAACTTAAAAACGAAAAGAATTCAAACTGTTGATATCAGGCACTGTAAACTTCGGTGTCTGCTAAAAACAGTCGCATTTAGACATGCCTATGCAAATGTGTAGAAAATTGTGAACTTTATGAAAGTTCAAATAATAATAGACTAAGCGCATTTAAGGATGCAGGTGGCGCTGTGGTCTAAACCACTGAGCCTAGGGCTTGCTGATCAGAAGCTTGGCGGTTCGAATCCCTGTGATGGGGTGAGCTCCTGTCGCTCGGTCCCAGCTCCTGCCAACCTAGCAGTTCGAAAGCACGTCAAAGTGCAAGTAGATAAATAGGTACCGCTCTGGCGGGAAGGTAAACGGCGTTTCCGTGCGCTGCTCTGGTTCACCAGAAGCGGCTTAGTCATGCTGGCCACATGACCTGGAAAAAAACTGCAGACAAACGTTGTCTCCCTCGGCCAATAAAACAAGATGAGCGTCGCAATCCCAAAGTCATTCGGGACTGGACTTAACTGTCAGGGGTCCTTTACCTTTACCTTTTTAAGCGCATTTAAGCGCATTTGTCAAAGACACATTTGGGAGTGTGTTGCAAGGTTTGGAAGGTAGAATAAGTTTACATGGAAATCTGAATTCCTAGGCAATTTGGAAATAGTTTCGATGTAATATTTGCTGATTTGATTTAATGACACCCTTGTCCATTGGCTGTTCCATTTCTTCCCTTTTCCTACGACCTCTTTTCTCTCATATCCCTTTCTTCTGTTTCAGGCACAGATGGCGTTTTCCAAAGCAGCCACAGATTCCCCAGAGGCAGAAGATGCTCCGTTGAACATCACAAAGCGGCCACTGTTCCGGGGGATCGTGCAGGAGGCCGAAGGGGGCACCTCCTCTCTGGGTAAGAAAAGGCCCTATTACAGCATGGGTCCCATCCGCACTAAACATTTAAAACAGCCCTGTACCACTTTAAGCCAACATTCAGAGAACATGAACCCGTGTTTGCCTATTTCTTCCTTCCTCCCAATCCACCTTCCTTTTGTGCCGTGTCTTTTGAGATTGTAAGCCTGGGTCAAGGACTTCTCTCTTTTCTTTTTCTTAACGTGTTCGGCAAGGGGCTCTGGAAGTCGTCGTAGGCTTGAGCTTGATTGACCAATGGTCTGACTCTGTATGAGGCAGCGTCCTATGTTCCTCTGTGCATGCTTGGCCTGCACATGTCACATGTGTGTGTGTATGCACATGCACATTTATTGGCCATGCCCACCACTGGCATGTGGGCCTCAGGGGGGTCCACTGACCCATCAGTGGTGGCCCTTGGGCCAAAGGAGGGCTAGCTAACCCTGCTATATCATCCACCTTCTTTGTCTTCCTTGTAGGAAGTAGGACAGCCCTCAAAGACAGCAAAATGGCCCTGAGGCGTCCCCCCATGCCTACTTCTCTTTGTGATGGACTGGAAGCAGCGTCCCTGCAGCCAGAACAGGTACAGAATAGAACTGTGGGTGCTTTTTCTCCTCTGCCCATCACTCTGGACCTGAAGATGGCAGCCATTTTCTTCTGTCAGAGCTGCTCACTAAGAAGGTTTTGAGTGCTGCTGATGACGCTTTGGGTCTTGCAGGAGATCCGCTAAGGCACCTCAGCTTTTCCTGTCTTCCTTTTTGTTGCTTTACCTGTGAGAAGTAAACATTTCCTCCTTCCTTCCTTCCTTCCTTCCTTCCTTCCTTCCTTCCTTCCTTCCTTCCTTCCAGGACCTCGTGAACTTTGAGGAGATGGCTGTACATTTCACGGCCTTCCACGGAGGCCGAGTAGGCTCTGCGGGACCCAGGCTGGAGGGGTCTGCACAGGGAAGCCATGGAGAACTGTGGAATTGTGGGAATCTGGCCTCTCTCGGTAAGTAAGCATATCAGGCAGAAATGCTACTACAGCTACTATGAGGTTAGCGTTTATTTATTTTGTTGTTTAGTCATTTAGTCGTGTCCGACTCTTTGTGACCCCATGGACCAGAGCACGCCAGGCACTCCTGTCTTCCACTGCCTCCCGCAGTTTGGTCAAATTCATGTTCATAGCTTTGAGAACACTGTCCACCCGTCTGTCGTCCCCTTCTCCTTGTGCCCTCCATCTTTCCCAACATCAGGGTCTTTTCCAGGGAGTCTTCTCTTCTCATGAGGTGGCCAAAGTACTGGAGCCTCAGCTTCACGATCTGTCCTTCCAGTGAGCACTCAGGGCTGATTTCCTTCCATGGGACTCTCAAGAGTCTCCTCCAGAACCAGAATTCTAAAGCATCAGTTCTTTGGGGATCAGCCTTCTTTATGGTCCAGCTCTCACTTCCATACATCACTACTGGGAAAACCAGAGCTTTAACTATACAGACCTTTATTTACATCCCACCTTTTTGCTGGACCCAGGACTCAAGGCAGCTTACATAAATTACAACAAGTCAGATAAAAGGTGTGAAAAGTCAATCCTTAAAAATTAAATTACAATATAAACAATATAACTCCCTCCCAATCTATTAGAATATAGTGGTTTCTTGGTTGTCAAACTTAATCCATTCGACTCCCGGAACCGTTTGAAAACCAAGGCTCTGCTTCCGATTGGCTGCAGGAGCTTCCTGCACTCAATTGGAAGCGTGGTCAGACATTCGGCTTCCGAAAAAGTTCGCAAACTGGAACACTTGCCTCCAGGTTTGCAGCATTTGAGAGCTGATTTGTTTGGGAGTCAAGCCATTTGACAACCAAGGTACCAGTGTACAGATAATAAAGAAGGAAAACTCTGATCCTAAGCCTCTGCTCCCTTGTGAGTTATCTTTGGGAGGAAAAAAGACTTGGGAGTAAACCGTACAAAAATCCTCAATGGAGTCCCTAAGAGGGTTGGATGGCAGCTTTGCTTGCCTCCTTCCGGCAACTCCTGCAACCAAGCTTGTGCCAAATGTTTTGCTCTGCTTTCCTTTCATAGAATCATAGAATCATAGAGTTGGAAGAGACCACAAGGGCCATAGAGTCCAACCCCCTGCCAAGCAGGAAACACCATCAGAGCACTCCTGACATATGGTTGTCAAGCCTCTGCTTAAAGACCTCCAAAGAAGGAGACTCCACCACACTCCTTGGCAGCAAATTCCACTGTCAAACAGCTCTTACTGTCAGGAAGTTCTTCCTAATGTTTAGGTGGAATCTTCTTTCTTGTAGTTTGGATCCATTGCTCCGTGTCCGCTTCTCTGGAGCAGCAGAAAACAACCTTTCTCCCTCCTCTATGTGACATCCTTTTATATATTTGAACATGGCTATCATATCACCCCTTAACCTCCTCTTCTCCAGGCTAAACATGCCCAGCTCCCTTAGCCGTTTCTCATAAGGCATCGTTTCCAGGCCTTTGACCATTTTGGTTGCCCTCCTCTGGACACGTTCCAGTTTGTCAGTGTCCTTCTTGAACTGTGGTGCCCAGAACTGGACACAGTACTCCAGGTGAGGTCTGACCAGAGCAGAATACAGTGGCACTATTACTTCCCTTGCTCTAGATGCTATACTCCTATTGATGCAGCCCAGAATTGCATTGGCTTTTTAGCTGCCGCATCACACTGTTGGCTCATGTCAAGTTTGTGGTCAACCAAGACTCCTAGATCCTTTTCACATGTACTGCTCTCAAGCCAGGTGTCACCCATCTTGTATTTGTGCCTCTCATTTTTTTTGCCCAAGTGCAATACTTTACATTTCTCCCTGTTAAAATTCATCTTGTTTGTTTTGGCCCAGTTCTCTAATCTGTCAAGGTCGTTTTGAAGTGTGATCCTGTCCTCTGGGGTGTTAGCCACCCCTCCCAGTTTGGTGTCATCTGCAAATTTGATCAGGATGCCCTTGAGTCCATCATCCAAGTCGTTGATAAAGATGTTGAATAAGACCGGGCCACATCAACGAGGACGATGGGGAGATCTTGTCAGTTAGTGGCCGAAAGGCTTCTCAGGAGAAAGAAATTTTCTCTGGCAGTGAAAGGAAAGCAGAGAAGGGCGGTAAAATACAAGGCAATGTGACCATTAGAAAAACTGCAGTGCAAATTCCTAAAAGTATTTCACCAACAATAACTGTGAAAAGGACAAAATCGTTCGTGAGTTTTAAAGGAATGGGGGGGTGATCAGTGAGGCGTCACATTCTTTGGTACGTATGTTCAAGACTTAATAACAATAGCAATTTCTTGTGTGACAACGGGTGGATTGCGATTTTAATTTTTATCTCCTTTTTTATTGTGTGTCTATAGCTATACATATTTAATTATTGTAACATATACAGTGGTACCTCAGGTTACGTACGCTACAGGTTACATACGCCTCAGGTTACAGACTCTGCTAACCCAGAAATATTACCTTGGGTTAAGAACTTTGCTTCAGGATGAGAACAGAAATTGTGCTCTGGCGGCATGGCAGCAGGAGGCCCCATTAGCTAAAGTGGTGCTTCAGGTTAAGAACAGTTTCAGGTTAAGTACGGACCTCCAGAACAAATTAAGTACTTAAGCCGAGGTACCACTGTGTGTGTGTGTGTGTGTGTGTGTGTGTGTGTGTGTATGAAACCCACTTTGATTTTTTAAATGAAATTGCTGTATTTGAAGTGTTTTTTTTAAAATAAATAAATAAATACATCATATGGGATAAGAATTACAAGCAGGCAGCACCAGCGGGATTTCTCTCCTCTTAGGCCAAGCAAAAATTAGAGCCAGTTCACAGTGGCCAGTCCTTTTCCTTCAAGCAGGCAGCATCTACATGAGGTCACAATGGGTAGTCTCCTCCCATCCAATCACATCAGCATGAGGTCACAATGGCTGGTCTCCTCCCATCCAATCACATCAGCATGAGGTCACAATGGCCGGTCTCCTCCCATCCAATCACATCAGCATGAGGTCACAATGACCTCTGATTAGCGGTTGCTGGGAATCACAAGTGGAGACACTGCTGCCACGCTCAGTCCTGCTTGTGTGCTTCCCAGAAGACACATCTGGTTGTCCAGTGTAACAGCTGGAGTAGATGGGCCGTTGGTGTGATCCGACACCTGCAAGGCTCTTCTCTTCCTACAAGTCATTTGTTTCTCTCTTTTTAAATAGGGCTTCCGCTTCCCAGGCTGGACCATATCTCCTGGCAGGGAGAAAGGGGCGACCCGTTTGCCGAAAGCTCTGAAGAGGAGAGATCAGCAGGTAGGCACTTAGGGGTGGGCCCCCATGTCAGGCATACCCGGCTATGTCTTCAACTAGCAACCATATTTTTTTCTTGCTGAATATCACCCCGTTATGATCCCCCTTTAATCGATGGATTGACAATACGACAGTACTTGCAACATGTGAACGGATTGCCAGACTTTGTCTGGACAAATATATTGACGTTTGGAACACGTTTATACAGAATAGGCTATTAATAAGGATAATAATATATCTGTATAATAATGTATGGAAATGTAACTGATATTACTTATTGTATGATATTGTACCTTTTGCATCTTTTTCCCTATTTCTTTTTCATTCTTTTATCCTCCTATTTCCTTATAAATGAAATTCTTCTAAAGAAAAACAAAAACCACCCAGTTGAGGGGTACAGTAAGGCCACAACTTATCCACATTTAACTTGTGCGCATTTGGCAAAAAAAATTAGGAAGGGGGTGACCCCACCTACTATTGAACCCAGTGTGTTTTGACCATACGTGGTTTTGGCTTTTAGGCACGATCCTGGGAACATGAACCCCCCCCCCCATAAGTTGCAGGTGCCCTGTATATCTGAGAAACAAGCAGGGAATAGTGTGAGGGATTCACTCAACTGGGAAAGGAGGATTTTGTATCTAAAGTGAGGAATGGCAGATCTTATTTCATAGCACCCACCTGTACTCCATGAACCCAGTTAGGCTCGGCCCCAATTTGGCCCACAAGTCCATTCCCCACAAACCACATCCTCCTGCCCTAGGGGTTGCCAATATTTTTGGACTAGTGGTTGCATTTAAAATTTTGAAGGGGGTGCTGGGACTGCCAGTCACAAAATGGCTGCCATGGAGGGGGCATGGCCTAACAAAAAATGTCCCCATTTTCCAGGGAAGTCCCATCCCTATTTTCTCTAGAAGCTGTCCCGGTTTCTGATTTGATCCCAGAATGTCCCATTTTTCCTTAGGACATTCCTATTTTCATTGGAGAAATGTTGGAGGGTATGGAATTATCTGACCCCCAGGCCATCTGAAGGCAATCCTGTATAGGGAAGGTTTTTTTTTTAATGTTTAATGTTTTATTACATTTTTATAGATGTTGGAAGCTGCCCAGAGGGCAACCCAGTCAGACAGACAGGGTATGAATAGTAAAATTATCATTATGGAATGGGACGTCCCTATTTTGATCGGAGAAATGTTGGAGGGTATGGAATGGCTGCCATGGGGAGCCAGGCATAACACAAAATCAGAGAGGCAACCACCCCTGACAATGTTTATGCATACCATGAGAAGGCAGTTATGTCCTGCTGGTTATGGAGATTGTGTGCATACACACACACTGCCTGATGATGTTGCTCTGTAATAACAACAGTTATCTCCTGCTTGGACTACTGCAATGCGCTCAATGTGGGGCTACCTTTGTAGGTGACCCGGAAACTACAACTAATTCAGAATGCGGCAGCTAGACTGGTGACTGGGGGCAGCCGCCAAGACCATATAACACCGGTCCTGAAAGACCTACATTGGCTCCCAGTACGTTTCTGAGCACAATTTAAAGTGTTGGTGTTAACCTTTAAAGCCCTAAATAGCCTCGGCCCAGTATACCTGAAGGAGCATCTCCACCCCCATTGTTCTGCCCGGACACCTGAGGTCCAGCGCTGAGGGCCTTCTGGTGGTTCCCTCACTGCAAGGAGCTAAGCTACAGGGAAGCAGGCAGAGGGCCTTCCCGGTAGTGGCGCCCACCCTGTGGAACTCCCTCCCATCAGATGTCAAAGAGCTAAACAACTACCTGACATTTAGAAGACATCTGAAGGCAGCCCTGTTCAGGGAAGTTTTTAATGTGTGACATTTTAATGTATTTTTAATCTTTGTTGGAAGCCGCCCAGAGTGGCTGGGGAAACCCAGCCAGATGGGCGGAGTACAAATAATAAATTACTATTACTGTTACCAGGAAACATATACAAGCTAGCCACACCATTCATTTCACAGAAATCAATTAGAAGGCACCTGCCCATTTTGCCTTTTAATTGGGTTGGGTTGGTGACCCTGACAGGTAATGTGTTTGAATCCAAAGTGCTCCTGCAAATGGACTTCAAGGCGACTCCCTGAACAGCCAATTAGTTGAACAATTTTGGCAAACCCCTTTGAAGTCGCAGCTCCTGGAATCAATCAGCTGATTGGTGCTCAGAGCAGACCTTCAAAGGAAGCTGCTCCAACCTCCACTCAGCTGATTGGTGCTTACAGGGACCCCTTCTGAACTTTTAAAGTTGTCAGCCACTGGACATCATTATACCACTGGGTGATTTGACAAGTGGATGGAATTAATCAGCCTGCCTAAAACCCAGATTCAGTTTCCCACTCCTGCTTTAAAGACTATGTCACCACATTGCCAAGAATTAGCTACTTTGATTGGCAAAGGTCCTTTAAGGTCTCTGTTTTCCTGACACTGTTATCGAGTACATTCATTTGGGTAGTGAACCTGTGATCGTGCATGAGCAGAATAGCCAATGCTTCATACACCACCCCATTTGTCTATTCCAAGGTTCATCAGATCAATGTTCTTTCCATGATTCGTAGATCTCTTCCTCCCTGATCAGATTTCACCTTTGATTCCTTTAGATGACGACAGAGAGGGCAACAAAGAGTGTGAACGGCATAGAATGAAAACGGAATTAAAACAGAAGTGGGGGAACAAATCCATTGCTTTTGAAGGGACTGACTTCCATGAAATCCCAATAGTAGAAGAACATTGTGAAGGAAACCAAAGAAAAATTCACAAGGAGAAATTGTTGAAATGTGCAGAGTGTGGGAAGCTTTTCAGCCAGCAGATATACCTTATTAAACATCAGAGAGCGCATGCTACAGATAAAACGTACAAATGCTTGGAGTGCGGCAAGCAATTCCTTCGCAGCTCAGACCTTCATTTTCATCAAAGATTCCATGCAGGCAAAAAGCCTTATAAATGCTCGGAGTGTGGAAAGCGGTTCAGTCATAGCGTAAGTCTGAAATGGCATGAAAGTATTCACACGAGAGAAAAGCCCTATAAATGCTCAGAGTGTGGAAAGGGTTTTAATGACGGCAGAAACCTTAAAAGACATCAAAGAATCCACACAGGGGAGAAACCTTATAAGTGCTCAGTGTGTGGAAAGGGCTTCAGTCGTAGCCCTGAGCTTAAATCACATCAAAGAATACACACTGGGGAGAAGCCCTATAAGTGCTCCGAGTGCGGGAAGAGGTTCAACCTGAGTTCAAACCTTAGTAAACATCAAAGAATCCACACAGGGGAGAAGCCCTACACATGTTCAGCGTGTGGGAAGAGCTTCAGTCATAGCACACATCTTAAAAGACATGAAAGAATCCACACGGGGGAGAAGCCCTATAAATGTTCCGAGTGTGGAAAGAGCTTCAGTCAAAACATAATTCTTAAATCGCACCAGAGAATTCACACGGGGGAGAAGCCAGATAAATGCTCCGAGTGCGGGAAGTGTTTCAGCAATAGTGGGAACCTTAAAATACACCAGAAAATCCACACAGGGGAGAAGCCCTATAAATGCTCAGAGTGCGGGAAGTGTTTCAGTCAAAGCATAATCCTTAAATCGCATCAAAGAACTCACACGGGGGAGAAGCCCTTTGTATGCTCTGGGTGTGGAAAGAGTTTTGGCGATAGCAGAAGCCTCAAAGTCCATCAAAGAGTCCACACCCAGGAGAAGCCCTATAAATGCTCCGAGTGCGGCAAGACTTTCAGCGTCGGCAGAAGCCTCAAAGTACACCAAAGAACCCACACGCAGGAGAAACCCTATCAATGCCTCGAGTGTGGGAAAAGCTTCAGTGACAGCAGAATCCTCAAAGTGCATCAAAGGATCCACACGGGGGAGAAGCCCTATAACTGCTCAGAGTGTGGGAAGAGCTTCAACCAGAGCACACACCTTAAGAGACATCAGAGAACCCACACAGAGGAGAAGCCCTACAAGTGCTTGGAGTGCGGGAAAAGCTTCAACCAGAGCACGCATCTCAACACACACAGAAGAATCCACGTGAGAAACACTCAGGGTGCGGAATGACCTTCCACCAGAGAAGACGCTTTCCACTGCGTCAAACAGGGTGGAATCCTGCAAATCCTAGTGATGATTGGAATGTGGGAAGTTCTTGAGATGGAACGTAAGCTTCCGACTTCCAAGATGCCAACCCAAGGGAAAGCATAGGAATAATTAGAGTAGAGAATCACTTGACCAATCAAATCTTAATAAGCAGCTGTAGCAGGGCTCAGAATGGGCAGTTCCCAGTGACTACATGAGTCCAGGATAGATGCATGCCTAGGCTTGTTAGGATTCCTGCTCCGTGTTTGCAGTCATGAGATTGTTGTCTATCACATGGCGGTGTATTTTTTCATTCCAGAGTGTGGGAAGTGACGGAGACAGGATGTTTTGGTATTGTATTTTTGTAGGCCTAATGTTATGCTTAGCCTCTGTCCAGAAATTCTGTGTCGACAGCATTTTTTAAATTCTCCCCTTGCTGTAACCTTGGACAATCATGTTTAATTAAACAATGTGATATTGGCTGCCTGTTCAGTTTACATTTTATTCCTGCACTGCAGGGGGTCAGGCTAGATGATCCTTGAGGTCCCTCCCAATTCTACAGTTTTATGATTCTATGAAGATGTTCTTCTCAGACCCTCCTGGCCTTTGGGTACAGGGTCCTCTGAGGCCACTGGAGCACTGGCAAGCTGTCTTTGATTCTAGCAGCCTCTATAAAATTAACCAGGAAGAGGCTCCTAGCAGGCCGGTCACCAGCCATGATTGAAGCTTGACCCCTCTGCCTAAAAGTATCCGTCTTTGCTTGTTTAAAGAATGTAAGAGGACCTGCCTAGTTCATCATTCTGTTACTACTTTTTACTGTTTGGAATTTCTCTTCGTTCTTTCTTATGTCCCCTATGATAACTGATAGTTCTGGGGCACACACACAGGTTTCTAGGAACACTTCTCCTTTCTCACGAGTAGAACAAACATGTAGCCAATGTATATGCAGGTAATCAGAAGTCCCTCATTACTGCAACACTTCCTCTTTGGATTTCATTCTTAAGCTCAAGAACACTCTGGGCATTTATTTATTTTTTTGGTCAGGATGATAGCATGTGCCAAGGACTAATTTTTTGAGTGGAATATGCACGGTGGCTAAGTGGTGATTTAACTTGCACACTGTTTTTGAAAAACTGAACTCATTTAAACTGGTTTTGAACTGAAAATCAAAACTTTCAGCCGAATCCATAGTTTATATGCCACTCTTCCACCACCCGCTCCCCAAACCTGAATTGAGATGCACTTACTTTGTTGATTCTAAGCTGCCTCTCCTGTTAGCTTGGTCTGTGCTACATGAAAACATGTATCAATGGGTTTCTTTTCCTTCCCTCCCCCCCCGCTCTCTAAAATTGGGATTTAATCTAAGTGTCTGGTTACACTGTGGCTCAAGATATTCCTGCCATGGTAGAGCTGAAAACTAGGTTTCTACAGTCATATTGTCTTTAGCTCTTGAGCTCTGACCATTTTTCTTAAAAAAATATTTACAGGATTAGCTCCTAGCACACAGTGCCTTTAGTGTGCTCTCATTACAGTTTAAGCTGACGAAATGAATAAACAAGCAAATAAATGGGCGGTTGTTGGCATCCATCTGTCTCGGGAGACCATGGAGGGGTGCATCTTTGAGGGTGAAGTCAAACTGTTGGAAGGTTGCAGTGCCTGCTGTGGCTGTAGAGAACGATATGGGAGGGACATGTTTTGTTGCAGGTGGGGGCATTTGGTTGTGCTACTGCAGATGCACCAAGACATTTCTTCTCTGTGCTTTTCCCAGCTGTCATTCCTCCCGTGGTTGACATCTCCAGGAACTGTGGTTGGCTGCAAGGGATTCCCACATGGTGGGTTTTATGTTGCCAGTAATAATAATAATAATAATAATAATTTATACCCTGCCCATCTGGCTGAGATTCCCCAGCCACTCTGGGTGGCTCCCAACAGAATATTAAAAACACAATAAAACATCAAACATTAAAAACTTCTCTAAACAGGGCTGCCTTCAGATCTCTTCTAAAAGTCGGATAGTTTATATCCTTGACATCTGATGGGAGGCCGTTCCACAGGGCGGGTGCCACTACCGAGAAGACCCTCTGCCTGGTTCCCTGGTTCTCTCAGTGAGGGAACCACCAGAAGGCCCTCGGTGCTGGATCTCAGTGTCTGGGCTGAGACGCTCCTTCAGGTATACAGGACCGAGGCCGTTTAGGGCTTTAAAGGTCTGCAGGCAGTAAACATCACATGTGGCCCATGCATGCAATAATTCTCGCATCTGCACCTTTGCACATGTATCTGTGGGTCCTTGTATTTTACCTATCATATTTATATCCCTTCTCCCCCCATGAGCTCAAGGTGTCACACATGGTCCTCCCCTCCTCATTCAACCCCAACAACCACCCCTACCAGGTAGGCCAGGCTGAGAAGCAGCGACTGGCCCCCAAGGTCACCCAGCAAACTTCCTCAAGATCCAGTAGGGATTCTAAACCTGACCATCACACAGCACCAACCCCACCCCCAAAAAAGCAGTTGGGTCTCCCTGCAAAGCTGACTATGGCACAGTGAAAGAGGCACTCCTGGCCTGGGATTTTGATTTGCGCCCCCCCCCAGCAGCTGGGTAGAGATAGATAGATAATTTATTACGCTCGGAGACCGGCTTATAAAACACACTTGGGGGTACAATCCCAGAAGGAAAACAAACATTTAAAACAATGTACAACAATAAAGTTAAAATTTATAAATGCCATAAGCGTCTAGACACTTAAAACTTTAAGATAAGCTACTGCAGATGAGTCACCCATGGAACCGAGTTTGGGGATTTTCTTAACGAACTAGTTTGGGTTGGGGGATGGTCTGCGCCCACAGATCTGTACACAGAATCTGGCGACCATCCGGGTCGTCTTATGATCTTTGCCTAAGACTCGAACCCATGACTTCAAGCTACAAGAAAAGAGATTACGACCCAACATCAGGAAAAAAGCTTTCTTAGCAGCCGAAACGGATTCCCACGGGAGGTGGCGGACTCTCCTTCCTTGGAGGTTTTTAAGCAGAGGTTGGACGCCCGTCCATCATGGATGCTTTAGCTGAGATTCCTGCATTGCAGAGGGTTGGACTAGATGGCCCTTGGGGTCCCAACTCTATTCTTTGACCTCAGGAATTCCCAGATTAACAGCCCGAAGGGGGACGTTTCTCCCCACGATGAGTGTCGTGGAGGAACCCTGGCCAGCTGCGAAGGACCATTTGACCAGGGTGGGTGGGATGGTGGGGGGAGAGAGACCACCCCAGCTGCTCCTCACCTGCCTGCCTTTTACACTCTCCCTTTACTAGCTGGTGGGGGCGGTTTCCCCCTGCAAAAGCCCACTGCCCAGACTTGCACTGTCCTTTTCTCCCTTCTACCCACGGCCCCCGCCCCTCTCCCATTCTGCACTCACCAAATGCTGCCCACCCTCTTTAGGAGCCCCTCTAGGGAAAAAGGTAAAAGGCGGATCTAGACGGATCCTCGTGAATTCATATGATTTCTTCATTCAAATTAAATAAAACCACCATGATACTGTAGACCATGTCTTACTCTGTAGAAAGCATCAAAAAAATCACGCATCCACTGTTTCGTGGGCGCAGGGCACAAAAACATGGTTAAAAAACACGGATCCTCATGGATCCTCATGATTTTTCCACTAGATCAGCCCAAAGTCACCATCAGATCAAAGATCATGTCCAGGGGCGCAGCATCCACCACAAAAATCACGGATCCACGGCTTCCTGGCTAAACTGTGGCCCAAAAATGTGGTTTTGAAGCACGGATCTTCATGGATCCTCACGCTTTTTGCATCGGGCCAACCCAAACTCACCGTCAAATCACACATCATTCCCAGGGGCACAGCCTGCACCACAAAAAAACTCGGATCCACGGCTTCCTGGCCACTCCATGGCCCAAAAACGTGGTTCCGAAGCACGGATCCTCATGAATCCTCATGATTTTTGCACTAGATCAGCCCAAAGTCACCATCAGATCAAACATCATGGCCAGCAGCACAGCATGCAACACAAAAATCACGGATCCACGACTTCCTGGCGAAACCGTGGCCCAAAAACTTGGTTCCGAACCACAGATCCTCATGGATCCTCATGCTTTTTGCATTGGGCCACCCCAAACTCACCGTCAAATCACACATCATTCCCAGGGGCACAGCCTGCACCACAGAAAACTCGGATCCACGGTTATCTGGCCATTCCTTGGCCCAAAAACGTGGTTTTGAAGCACGGATCCTCATGGATCCTCATTCTTCTTGCATTGGGTGTACCGCCATTGCCTCTGCAGAGAACTAGGGCCAGGGCCTTTTCAGTACTGGCCCCGACTTGGTGGGACGCTCTGTCACAAGAGACTAGGGCCCTGCAGGACTTGACATCTCTCCACAGGGCCTGCAAGACAGAGCTGTTCTGCCTGGCCTTTGATTTGGACTCAGTCTGACCCTTATGTTTTCCCTCCCCTTATGGTTTTGATCTATGGGCTACTTTTAAAATGAGGCTGCATTTTAAATTGCATTTTAACCTGTATTTTAAATTGGGTGTTCCCACCCATTATGCTTTTATTGTAATTTTACTGGTGTTAGCTGCCCTGAGACTGGCTCTGGCCGGGGAAGGCGGGGTATAAATAAAAATTATTGTTGTTGTGGTTGTTGTGGTTGTCTTTGGAGGGAGTAGGAGTGTGCGTGCGTGTGGTGGGTGGGTGGGTGGAAGGGGAGAATTGAGCAGAGTTGCTGAGCTTTTTGTGGTGAGGATTGCCCTTAGGTTTAGCTTTTGGGGGGATGATTTCGCGATCTACCAGGATCAACCAGGGATCTACAGGTAGATCGTGATCTACTGGTCGGGCATGCCTGGACTATATAACTTTGAAAGATATACACAAGATGAATAATGAAATGAATGGACATTGCTGGAAATGCCATAGACCTCAAGGGACCTTCTTCCATTTGTGTTGGACCTGTGAAAAGACCAAAAAGTTTTGGAGGAAAGTTCATTTCAAAATGCAAAAGATGTAAAAAACTAAATTTGCATTGGATCCCAAAAGTATGCTGTTGGGAATGACTCCTTCAGCTGTTGTGAAATTGTCAGTGGAACTACTTATATGACCACAGCAGTCATTGGTGTTGGCTAACATGGAAATCTGACATGTGTCCTCAGATAGATGCATGGAAAGAAAAACTATCAGAATATGCAGTAATGGCAAAACTCACCAATTTAGTAAATAATAGACCCATGGAAGAACATCAAATAAACTTGGAATCTTTATAATTTGTATACAGCTTAACAGAACTGTAAGAAAATGGATTTGTATAATAGACCTTAGGTTGCAAATATGTTTCCTGTTTAAAAATAGAAGTTTTGTGTGTATATGATAAAGAAATAAATATACTGTAAAAGAAATCTTGTCTGTCCGATTTAGAAATGAAATCATATTTTAAAATAATTTTTGCTTTAGACTGTTGTAAATAATACTAATAAACCTTTATTGCTACTACACCACCTGTGTGCAGTGAAATTAAACG